GAAATGGCCCGTTGCATAATAGCAGGTGTCTGCACCACAAAACCAGCCTCCTAAGGGGCGCTAGTGGGTAGTAACTCTGATAGGCTGCAACGAGTCAGAGGAATAAATACATACACCTTGGGAGTGTCTACAATTACTGTGCATTGGCCTAATTACACTGCACAGTAGAGCATCACAGCACGAACTGTGCTAATAGCCCACTGCGCAGTGTTATTAGGCTAATGCACAGTAAGTGTCACTAATTCACCATGCATTGGTGCTAATGCTCAGTAACTTTAGAGCTGCGCATTTAGTTAGTCCTTTATTAAGGAAGTAGTAAACTAGATGTGCAGTATCTAAGGAGCATTAATGAATGTGTAGACACGCTCCTTGGAGATTAAAGTACCTTCTTACCCCATTGGTCACTGTTCCCTAGGTGCAGAGAAGAGGGGGAAACTTGACCTTCCATTGTCCAGCATACGCCTGTTCTTATTGCTAATGGGTTTCCCTCTCTAAGGCAATCAATTTTGTGCATGCTGCCATGGAAATGAATTAATGGTGAAGAATTCAATAACAGCAAGTTCTTTTTAGCTGTTAAAACCAATAATTCCTATTTTTATTTAGATCTTAAAAAAAATGTAATTTATATGCTGCATACACCATAGCAACTCCATCTGGTATATAATACTATTATCTAGCACTTAAAAAAACAAACAAACCAACTTTGATCTTGGACCAAATGAGTTGACAGAGCCCTGGTGTCTTTTGTGTGTACAGCATATATGATCAATCCCTGGTTGGGCTAGATGATCTCTTAGGTCCCTTCCAGCCCTACTTCTTGCCTACGAGATTAAAAAGAGAAAAGAATACAGCATAACAAGCGTGTGCTGTCAGTATTCCTGGGAAAAATCCATGAGAAATGTCTTAGTATGCAGTGGCAGCATGTGGGCTGTAAGGGCTTTGCAAAATTAAGTCTTATCCAATCTAAGCACTCAGAAAATTCCCCAAGCCACCCTGAGGCACTGGCATTCACCTTAAGGCCAATATATGGATTTATACCCAGGCTAAGATTTGTGCATCGTTCTTACTTGTTGGGTAAGTGAGTTACTTTTGGGGTGAGTTGATTCATATTTAAGATACTTAATATGCTACCAGGTAAGCAAGTGGACCTGACTCACTTTCATAAGTTAGAAAGGAAGATGGTCTTAATCCAAGCTGTCCCATCAATGGAACAATATTTGGTCTTCTGAACTCTCATGTATTTTGAGGTCTACTGGGCTAATACTAAGGTCCCTGGAACATCTCCAGAGAGGCCCAGGGACTCCATATTGCTACCAGGCAAAACAACAATTCTCAGGAATCAAGTTGCACATGATGCCTCTGGATGGCCAGTCACCTGACAAAGGTTCATTGCATGTGGGATCCTTTGTAGCTTATGGGCAGACAGCACCCAAGGATGGCACCTAAGGAGATGGCAGTCCCCCTTCTGTGGGAACCTGAACCCTGAAGGTGGGACCACACTGTGAAGCAGATGGCTTCCTTTTGCTTACCTCATTTTTTTCAAAACAAGTAGCAGAGGGAACCATTGAGGCCTATGCCAGGTGATACACTCTGATAACAGGAAAGCTATGAGGACTATTCAAGACTCTCAACGTCACCATCTTTGTGACATTGCTACAGAAATACACCAAGGTGTTTCTCTGGAAGGCAGTGGGAGTATGACTAATCACAGCCTAGGAAATGAGTGTTTGCTGCACCACTTTCCCCTCTCCAAGATAGAAGGTTCCTTTTGAGCCATTATCACAGCACACTGAATATGGCTTAATGAAGGGCTCTGAGGCATGCAGTGAAATGGATCTTTAAAATGCACTGCAAATGCAGGTCATGTTTCTAAACCAGCTGGATCTTTAGGTAGCTGTGAATGGACATAGCTCCATGAGCCTCAGTGGAACTGCCTTGATTCATGCTACCCAAGGATGTACTACAAAGCAGGGACAAGAAAGTGTTATCAGACTCTATTTTTGGCCTGAGCAATCAGTTTACCTCAATTTGCAGTTTCAAAGGCATGTTCACAAATGAAAAAGCACTAGACAACAAAGTTTGAAAAAGCACTAAACAACAAAGTTTGAGTTTTATGTTTCTAAGCTGCACAGACCAGGGAGGTCTCATGACCAGGGCCTTTTGAGGCTTCGAGTCTCTCATTCCACTTACAGATAACTATATTTTTCACTATAGGGTACTAATGACAATACATATGGTTGTATCAGATTTTAATTATTAATACCCACACAGCTAAATTTTGGGGATCTACGATAACTGCCCTTAAGGGGGCAATATTCCTTCTCCTCTCCTGGCAACTGTAATTGTAACATAAGACGGATTTCGAGCATACTTTCATTATTGGACTCTTTCTATAAATTGGATTGCTTCTAATTAAAAAATATTGGTTTTAAATCTACTCCACATGGTCTTTCTCTTAAGCAAGAAAATTAAAAAGTGAATCTTCTCATCTGTCAATTTCAATAAATTCCCATCCCCCCTCGATCCCAGGCATTAGGAATGCGGTGGTTTCTGGATTATTATCATTTTATAGCATTTTCAAATTCTGTTCATTGAAACTTAATGAAAGATTTGTGCTGGTTAATTCATCAAATGCATTTGATTTTAGGACTCTACAGACACATGCTAAATACCAATACCATATAAATGAGTATAGTGAAGATAGAAAGTGTCTATATTCAAGCCACGTGTTTACAAGGGGATAAGTCACAGCACTCATGATCTCAGATGGCTGAAATAAGCTTTATGACACAAGTGCATCAGGAATTTGTTAACAGCATTATGAGATGCTGTTATAGGGTCACTTGTGACATGAGTCCACATCTTGAAGTGTTGAATCCATTAAAGTCCCCTTTTAAAAAGCACTATATTAACAATGAGTGTACTATTTGCAGATGTCTATATGTAGATGTACATGCATACTTACTCACACACGTCTGCTTAGGCATTATATATAATGATGTTATTTTTATATTAGACCCACACTTCTAACCCTCACATTATGTAACTGAACTGCATTGTTACCCATTTTCTTAACTTAGGCAGGATCTTTTTCCGTGTGGTGCAGTACTAAGCACACCGATGAAGCTCAGTAAATAATAAACAGCAGCATACAACCAACAAACACATCTCTGCTCCTGAAACAGTTTTAGACTAATAAGTGCTATTCAGGAAGGTCCAATCTTCATCTCTTCCCTACCAGAAGAAACTGCATGCATAACAAGCGGCAGCCTGAAATATCATGTACAAGCTTTGACCTTGAGACTTCCTGAACCAGTTTTGATTGGCTTTCCCCTAGAAACAACATGCTTCCACAGGAAGTTCATAAATGTGTCTAAGTCACAGCGATTTACGTAGTTTAATATTTTTAACTTTTAAAGAACAACCTGAAATGGGTGGCTTGTCACCGACACAAACAAATGGCCAGGTTTTCATAAGCAAACATCAGTTTTTCTCAGTGCAAACTGAACTGTTGAAAGGAAAGTGAGTGGTTTGTTGGCTATTAAGATTCTACTGATGTGGTCTTTCCTAGACAGCTTATAAAGTGGCTTCTCTGTACTCGGTATGAACCTGAACCATCCTCTGTTCTCAAACCATAGTGAAACGTTAACATTCTGGATCCAAATTCTGTAGCTAGCCTATATCTACAAAGAGCTGAACAAAAACCCTAGATCCAGGACTACAGAGCTTTGTGGACTTTTGGATCGAGCCGAACACTATCACTTACACCCATCAGCATCCTTAGAAAGACAAACCAGTGCACACCCATCCCTTTTTTACTAGATCAGAGTCTGGGGAACTGCCTACTTCAGGTGCAATGAATGGATACTCTCTCCTTTACTGAGTCGGCAAGAACCAATGAGAGTTGTATGAAATGCCCACTATCAAAGGTGAAATGGAGATACAAGGAAGAGATGGCTGATAACAGAAATGTCATGAAAAAGCAAAATATGAAATACTCAGAGGGAAAGAACAACAAGGACATGAAAATCTTGGTTGGAAGCTTTTAATCTATTTCACACCACTCTAGAAATTCACCCCAGACTTTTTTAATGACATCTCCTGGATTTTCATCTGGTTTCCCATGCTATGTATTCTATATAGTCAATGGGATATCTTCCTTTTGTGTATACTTGTACACCCCAAGTTATAAAATGATACCAGGTTATAAAATGATTATAGGGAGGTTATGAGGGAATAATAGTGTAAAAATGTTGGTCACACCAGTGTTACTACGAAGAGACCTGGGAACTGTACATTTTCTTTTTTGCAAATGACCTAATACAGCAGAGAGAGATGAAAACTGCATTATTGATGTTAGCCACGCATGCAGTGCCAGGCAAAACTATTTATATAATTAATTCAGAAGTCAGAAGCTCTGTCAAGGATTCATTATGAAAGGCTTTACAGCAACTTTGAAAATTAATAGACTAGTCAGATTAGTTCATGGTATGCTTGGGAACTTTAGTTTGTATTTAATTGCTGTACTTTGAAAGGTAAATTAAGAATACATCGTTGCCTGGGGAAATTGACAAGCACAATGAAATGAAAGCAGGGATTCTAGGACCCAGTAAAGCAGATTGGATCTGTAGTAAATTGTATTAAAAAAGAGCTCAGAAACATTATTCATTAAAAAGAAAGACAAAGAAAAGATCCACTAAAGTAAAACAGTCCTTTTGAAGCAACACTGTTCAATTTATATCTCCTACTTAGAAGATCCAATTCCACTCCACATCTTAATAGGTGTTTACAAAATAAGAGTTTCAATACATATTAATTTAGAGTCTTTTCACTGATAATGGCTTATCTTGTATTTCTCCAATTTCTCTGCTGAAACCACTTCCTGAGTAAAGGGGAATGGATAAGCCAACAAAATGGAAGATCTGCCTACGACATCTAACAGGAAGTCTCGCCTATTTGGTCAAGATTAGCAGGTCTTACATAAGAATTTATTACAGTACCTTTCTGTTTCCTGGTCTGTGGTTTGCTGCTTGTTCTCAAAGCCTGTGAAGCTGCTCATATCCACATAGCCGTCATTTTCATTAGCAGCAGATAACGCCCTGCTGGGATCTTCGAAAAATTCAGTAAAAGTTCCTGCCCGGGTGGGTCTTCGGGGAGGAATTTGTATATTTTCGTAATCTGAGCTCATAGCTGGGATGTTCTCATAGTCAGAAGTATCAGCATTGGGAAATGAAATAGACCTAGGCTTAGTTAAGGGGAGTGGCATGAAAGGTGGTCGGGACCGATCCTCAAAAGACTCCACTCTCGACACGCTCCGGCTAAAGGATTTGGGTGTCCCTTTCCTTTTACCATCCTTGTAGAAAAGAATGGTAGTAGGAGATTCAGAAGCCCGCAGCTTTCCAGCATGTGATTTTAGCTGAGGTGAACTGCTCAGGCTCCTTCTGTCCAGTTCCAAAACCCTCGCGGGTCCATGATAGCTAGACTCGGAGGAGGACCTTGAAGAGGAAACATTAACATCAACGTGGACCTTATTTTCTGTTTTCTTCTTGAATTTGAGGGTGAGGAACCTCTTAAAAGACGATTTCTTTTTCTTGGAGTACTTATCAGGAGATTCATTTTCTATTAATAGTGAGGGGGAACTTTTAGTGATTGGCTTCTTTGTGATACAAGCTAGTTCAAAAGGAGGTGGTATATCAACAACTGAGGATGGGGTAGATACACCACTTGATGGCAAGAGGTGATTTCTCTGGGAAAAGCTGCCTGAGGAACTAATTACACAAGGCAAAGACAGGTTATCTTCTGTCCTCTTTATTCTACTATCATCCAATGTAGAGCCATCACTTTCTCTGTAAACAGACCCTGGCATATCTCTACCTTCTACTGAGTAAGACCGAGGGTACAAAATAAAGCGCCTTGACTTAGCTGGCAGTGCCCTGTTGGCTTCCATTTGTTTTCCTTCCACCGTTAGTAAGTTATTACTTAAATCTTTAGTCACCGAGTCATTGTTTGAAGATGGCAAGTCAGTATCTAGCCCAGATTCTTCTGGAACAGTTTCTGGCACATAGCCAGGCATTTTCCCAGAGAGGGATCTTGTTCTAGTGACAATATTCTTC